CACGGAAAGGGGTGAGAAGGACGGTTAACAAAGAGGAGAGGCGGCGGAGCGGACGCGAACCCGAGGGAGAAGGAAGTACCGGCTAAGGCTGAGAAAAAGGAAGCCAGGAGGGGTTAGAGAAGGAACGACAGGGAAGGAAATCGGGAAAGATATATCTCTCGAGTTGCGGTCGCGAAATCGAGTCAAGAGTCGGACAACCCAACGACCAAGACGCATCCACTGCATTACGCACACAGAAGCCGCGATTTTAACGTGCCTCTAGAAATGGTCGTTTGCAGCCGTATATACAGGGAGACCCACGTGGTGAAGCCGAGCTGCTAGGCCTCTGGGAATTATTAATGGCCCGTAGGTGTTACGAGTGCGAAGATTGCTGCTTTTAGCCAGATGTAACAGAAATTGCGTTTAATGGAATTGAATCGATACCGGAACCCAATTTCTATCATTTTCTATGCTTCCCTTTCGTGAAAGTGTGTTTTTGATTGGATCGAGGGATAAGGAGTCATCGAAATGACTCAGCATGAAAGGGTGAAATTATGTTATTTCGATTCAAATATATTAACTGAGCTCAGGGGTTAAGTAAATGAAAGATGTCGTATTTTAAAGTTAAAGTTGAATACTTTTTAGTCTCCTTCGTAGGAGGAAAGGTAGTCTCCTTTGTAGAAGAAGAGGAATCCTGATCTGCATAAGAGAAATGCTATTTGCACTTCGAAGATTATGGGTTGCGACATACAAGTTAGAAAATTAGAGTATAAGTTTCTATATAAATTCATAATTTTAGATACCATTGTGTTAGTAAGAAAATTAGTTGGAATTTAATGGTTTGTACGAGGGTTGTTTCATCTTGTTGAGTCTAACTTGTGTGTATTGTTAAAGTATATTATTTAAAATCGTTATTTTATTGCATTTTATGAGTTACGAGACGTTACATGTACATAATCATTTATAGTTCAGTTATAAACGATGAAGGTACCGTAAATGACTCATATGTATCTATGTTTGAATACGTTATTTGGACAGTTACGAAGTACACAAATATCCAGACTAAACGTAGTAGTAGAAACAAAATTATGTTATTCAAGGTAATAAGGGTTAAACAAACTTAACAAACTATGCAGCTTAATGGCTTTTAATTTGGATAAATTGTAAGAGGGAGGTATCGACTAAACAACTTTTTACAATAAAAATTTTAGTTTACTTATTCTTTTACAAGTATGTTTAAAGAATTACGACTAAGAAAATAAACACGATAAATTAAAATCTTATATTCTACACTTACAATGGTGAATAAACTAAATTTATTTTATCATTTATGACATTATATTTATGAGAATCTAAGCGTAATATTGAAAGTATTATATCAAAAACTTCATTTATGGGTTACGTAATACATACATACATTTATAGATAATAATGAAGTGTGTAATGTTACGCAAGACGAGTCCTTGAAGTTATTAACAGCTGTGATAAAACAGATTACATTATGTTACTGCAGATAACATTGGTACTCCTGGAAAAGAGATTGGTGAAAAAGTAAGTAAAATTGTTTAATTAGAGCAGAACTGCTGTATTAGTTATAAAATTAGTCTGTGTACAATAAAATGTGTTTACTAAAAAAAACATTTATGATTTGAAGTGTCAAAGTTTTTATTTTCTCAACACGTTCGTGTGTCCAAATAGTCAACGATTAAAGAAAGTAGAAAAAATGTTAATATCTTATAAAGGAATACACTTATATAAGAATTCTGACTTTCTATCTATAGATATATTTTCAAAAAAGTAGGGTAAATTCAAATATATCCACGATAATCCTGGAACTATTCCGTTAACGTTTACCTGTTTTGAAAATTCGTCAATTTCTGAATCTTATTAAGAATAAGATCGGTTAATATAAACGAAAAAAAGAAAAGAAATTACATTTCTTTAATGTTACTTTGCTTGTTTTGTGATAATTCGTCTATTCCGTAATACTACCCTGATAAATCATTATTTTCTTTCTGTCTAATAGATCAATGTTAAATAAACATCGAAATCAATATTATAAATCAAATATTATTTCTAAATAGTTACGAATGTAACGAATAGAACAATTATAAGCATGATACGGGGTCATTTAAGATTCGAGTACTTCGAAAAGCTTCGAATCTTATCTCTACTGACATCGGATTACTTACAAGTATGGTTTTAAAACTTCTGGATAGTTATTGTAGGATTTAAAAATAGTTCCTATGAAATTAATAGATTACACGTATACGTATTAAAATATTTTTGTGTAGTATTCGATACTCATGAAATGAAACTTGGATATTAAACTTATTCTTAGTCCCATCTCTAATGATAATTTTGATTTATATTTATATATAAATGTGTGATTGTCGAATATTAGCACGGGAACTTACACACAAAATTCATTCCTTACATACTTCATCATTCTATCAAATTACTTCTAATTAATTGACTTGTTTATCACGATATAAATTAGAATATTAATACTGTCTGTTCGTTCTTTCTGGTGTAAACAATGTAAATAATGTAAATAATGCCTTCGATTCTAGAAATTATCAGTTTTAATAAAAATTCATAGCTTGATTCTCGTGCTATTTAAATATTTTACGCATTACGTCCTCGTGTATTCAATATTCTTTTGGTTTTACTCAATTAATTTTTTTCCATCCAATAATTGTTATTTATGCGTTGAAGAAAAAGAGAACGTGTTGTGAAAATCAAATTATATAAGAGTTACTATATAATAATTTTCAGATTTGAGAAAACAACAGTTGTTACAATGCTGTACATTTTTGTATTCAGAAGGATATTTTATTCAGTAAAAATCCACAATCTCAAAAGGCACCACACATATTAATTTCATTTTTATTTCATAGTATGATAGGAACGGTCATAATTCTGAAACATTTATATTTAAAGTCGATCGATCAGTAAAGTGATAGAAAAGTAAGTATTATATCTGTCATTTATATTACTTATTTGAACTATTGTAGTTTTTAATTGAATTATAGGATATATTTACGGACATCGTGAATCTTACACAGTCCGTGTGTAAGATTCACTTGTAACAATACAATTCAGTTTAATAATACACTTAAGTACTTTAAATAGTTCACATATGTTGTAGCATTCCGAAGTGTCAGCACATTATCGGTCCGCGAGTGTCAGACATTCATTTAAAACATCACATAACAAACAATCTAAATTATACAATTAAAAATTACAGTATTGTTATCACTTTGACCGCGAAGTAAACACTCATTAAAACTTCTGTGTAGGCGAAACAGTTTTCTTAATAAGTAGAAACTAAAAAGTCAAGATTCTTCGTTACGATTGTTCTGCTGTTCTTCTTATATCTTGTACATCCAATAAAATTCGGTTCGTTCGATGCGTCACCAGGAAAATGAATGTTTAAAAATATGTAGAAAATGGTGTCATCCAAGTTTGGGCGATGTGAAGGCAATTGACGTAGGAGCCAATTTGATTCATACTGACTTTTATAAATATTATATGGTAAATATTTGGATCGATATTAATTGATGAAGATGCGCAAATACCTGTCCTAATTGTCTACTTATAAATCTCTGATTTCTAAAATCTAAATGAACGAATATCAATTTTTCTAGAAGCAATAGAATAAATTGTATAGTAAACGTCTGTAAATCTAGTGGTAAGCAAACTGAATATTGTAAGATTACACAAAACCAAATATGCTTCTTCCTCGAACGATCACAAGGAAAATTACCGTGTAACAAAGTGAAAATTGCATAACGTCCGAATATTAGACTCGCCTCCCGTGTATGTTTGGTAACGGGGTCATTTGCCGGACAGTAATTACAGAAATTTGCGCGCAGTAAGGAAGACGTCAAGGTCAATAGCTGAAAATCGTTGTTTCAGGTACACTCATCCCTCCATTTACGCAGAGTATCCGTTCCACGCGGATATCTTTTATGCGAATGAAAATCGCGCAAATAGAGACTGTCAGTACAAATGAAAACAAAATATTAGAAAGAAGGTTGGTACAAGTGTTGGAAATACATACTTATTTCACATAGCTGAACACTATAACTACCAGCAGTTAAATTCACTTTTTCAAATTCCTCTATAAAAGCTCTAAGAGTACGTCTGTTGAGATGTTAACTCATCCACAAGTCACTTTGCGTATTGATAAATCAATTTCTTTAACAACTTCTTAGAGAAATATCTGCAATATTTTTAATAATTGCAAAAACAAAACATCAGGAATGGGTTCCTTTCACTCGTCTGATGGTTTTAATGTTAACACACTGAGTGCGGCATCGGACCTTAGGGACCGACGGTATCAAATCTGAGAAACAATATTTTACAAATCAGATGACATTAAAAAATTTGTTCCTGTCCTTTGTAACGAATTTCATTAAAGCATTGCGAACAAGAAAGGACTTTTTCAGTCATGTCTGTTTATTCCGTACAAATGCAATGTTTACACGTCTCCTAAATGGAAAACAACGCGTAAAGAGCTCCCCGTTTGACCGTCGAATTTGAAGTACCCACACTGTGGACCGTGCCTTTATTGCAATATTATTCATATAATTTTTACACATTCAAAACATAGTAAACAAACCAAACAAAGCATTTTACATATATATATATATGTATACAATGTTGTATAACCAAAGCGAAAATAAAGTATACCATACGGCAAATATATGTTAATATCATCATAGCAACGGTAATCAACAGTGTCAAACATAAATGACGCGTGATCATGAACTTGTTAACGTGTTAACAATAAAACAATAATAATGACATTAAATTTGGATCGCGTAAACTGATATTGCATGTAAACAATATTCTGTGAAAGAGTGCTGCGTAAAAATGAAGGGACGAGTATACAAAAATTTTCGCTTCGTAAGGAAGACGTCAAGGTCAAAGGCTGAAAATCGTTGTTTCAAGTACAGTATGTTGTCGTCTCTGACGAATGCCGTGCACGATCGGCGGCATATGCGTGTACTTTCCTTCTTTCGCCGGTGTATAGAGGAACGTGGGCGTGAAGGTGCTTTTGAACCGCGGCTACTGACATAACAGTGGGTAAGGGGCCAGCCATGATAGAGTGTTATCAGCATCGTCGAAGGCGGTGGTAAGTTTATTGTCGATACGTGCCGTTTATCGGCCTATGCTACGTTTAGTTAATTAAACGGCACGGTGAAACCCCACCGCTGCCGTGGCAAACGCTCCGCCGTACGAGAACGCGAAACGTGTGTCGGTGAAAAGAAAACACGAAGAACGAAGGAAAAAAAAAACAGCTCGCGACCTCTTCGTTGCGTACGAGGCGATACCGCGACTGGATGCAATTGAAATTTTCTCTTAATTTGCAATAGGTGGCGCCACTGTGTCGTAAATTGTCAGGATAACAATGTTAATTACTTGCAAATGTCGGCATTTTACAAGATCTAGGTTGAGGTACGGTTCTGTTCCTTTGAATGATCTCAAGGATGAAAATGAAGGTCCGAATTAAAGGAATGAAACGCATGCAGTGGTTTTTCATATTAAACCGTTAAATATGTGTGTTGGAATCATTACGGCAGGAGAAGTTCTTGGTTTTTTTATTGTGGAATTTTAATTAACATAATATTCGAAAAGCATTTAAATTGTATTTATAGATACAGACATTACACGTAATAGGATTATGATATTGCGAATAATTATAGTAAAAATTTATGAAACTCCCAGCTATTGCAATAAAATTCAATGTTGAGAGCCTTGATACAGGATTGCAAAGGATTAATCTGAACTAATGTGCATAATTTATTAATGTACAACGTGGTTCAGTTCTTGAACGCGGTAACTGAATTCTATTCAGCACTGATACAGTTTGCATAGCTAGTTACGAATGGTTTTGTGACAATCATGTCAAAGTTTTCATTTTGGTTAGTGTTTTTGGTGGACATAAAAATGTCAGTATGGTATATTGTACAATACATTACCCGTGTAACTTTCTTGCGTACTGAAACTACAAAAAAATTAAGGAGAACATGTTGTATACTAATCAATACAAATTTTAACTTCTATTACATATTAACACTAAACGTACCGCAACCAGTCAAATAGCCGGTACTAAATCTGATTTAAAATTCTGCATTTTCTGTCGTCCATTTAATTTATACTATCCGATTAATCGGTTTTTCAATTGTTGTCTTTCCTTTTGTTTATGTTTCTACTAAAAACAATTTATCGTCTAACTTGTTAAGAAGATGAACAATAGTAATAATAAATCATTTCCAAACCAGTACACCTCCACGGATTTTCAAGTCTCTTTACAACAAAAGTCAGTGATCTAATATTATTAAAAATATGTACACAACGAAATTACATGTATAATCAATATTCACAGAAAAAATAATCAAGATCGATATTATATTAGCGAAGATATACGAAAATCATTGCTTTCCTCGGAATATTAGTTGCTGGACTTGCGCTGCTGTGGAATTCAGGTGTTCAATTGTTCATTCGATACCGAGTTTGACGACTCTAATACGCCTCGTGAAAAATGATCTACGATCGGAAATGAAGTCGAGTAGCGAGACCAGGGCAGAGGATTGATGCAGCCGGAGAAATTCCTGGTACCAGGCCCGTGCGCGCGGCGTGGACTTTGACGATCCCTTAAGTGAAATATCATCGACAATCATTCACGTGAGATCTTTATCGGTCGGTAACGTGATCTCTGACCCCACCAAACTCGGGAGCAGTTTTATGCGAGCTCCCGCGGCGCGTGAATATACACCCATGGGTAGATGGGTGCCGGTGGTTCGTGGAGGAGGATCGGCAAGATTGCTGGAGGATCGAAAGAGGAATGTATATAACGCGGTCCGTGGCTTCGGGGATGGCTGGAATCACAGAAAAGTATTCGGCCGGGTTCGCGTGGAAGCCGACGCACAACGTTTCGCACGCAGAAACGTGGCTGCCAATAAATAAGGTTCGGCATTTCCCGCGCGCCTCGCGCTTCTTATCGAGCCACGGAGGGTACCACGGAGGACGATCTTCCGATGGTACTTCCGTCCGGGACGATCGAATCGATGCACCTTACCAGCGAACAATCGAATCACTTCCAAGAAAAGATAGATATTTCATGAAAAAGGGAAACAAGGTAATCCTTGGCGCAAATCACCTGCAGCCTTTCAACGTGACTATCGGCTTAGCCTTTAACACTAGGCTTACGGATGTTTACAGTACAGTTTATTCTATCGTTTTTAGAGGAATCGATATTCATTCATTTAAATCTTGGAAAGTAGAGGTTTAAAAGTAGACAATTAGGATAATTATTTACGGATCTGCATCGATCAAAGTTGACCCAAACATTTATCAAACAATGTTTATAAAAGTCAATGTGAGTCGAATTGGATCGTTCCGTAAATCTAGCGTTAACACGTTCTATGTCACCGTAAATTTCAGTTAATATTTCGCTTATCCCTTCAGATATCGAAAGAAAGCTTATAGGAAGGTACATTTGTTTTTACAATACATGGTAATTGACTTGTCATTTTTAACGAAAATACATATTTTTATGAAAGATGCTTATTCTAACTGTCAAAAAATGAGAGGGCAACTATATTGATTTTATACTGGTGGCTTCGCGACTGGTGCATTGGTTCGCATTTTACTGATATCGAAATATGACGTTTTAAGACGATGTCGCCAGGAACTAAAGGGTTATAGAGTGTGTTGATTTTTTAAATAAAATATTAAGTTTTTGTTGACTTTTGTATATTTTAATTATAATTTCTTTACATTTCCACTGTTTTCTAGCGTGTAACGTCATCTGTGATCACATGTCTTGTAAAAATATTTTGTTACAAAAATGTACCATACATGTTACAAATGACACTGAAGGTGATAACACGTTCGCGACTAGCATTTGTTTCTGTGGCAATCTTCGTAGTTACAGTATTTTGTTAGCATTAGAACTATCTAACATTTAATATGATCAATATATAATCTTTATAAAAATTGTAATAACATATCTTTTTTGATTTCTTCGTGTATTTATTATACTATTCAAATGAAGCTATTTATTCTTAGAATCATTTCGAATTGTTTAATACTTTTCAAGTATTAACACATTGAATGCCGTACGATTTCATAGAGCAAATACACAAATTGGAAAAAATATAATATTAAAACATTTGATTGAATTGCATTATTATTGCACGTTCATCCAGCTGAATGTCACCGCATTAGGTAGCATTATTTATAATATAAGAATTTTTTCAAATAATCATCGTTTAATTGAGTAAACTATAGTAATCCGATTTAGTTAGATGTCACCGGTGACCTACATGGCATTCAACGTGTTAATAATTGCAAAATAAGAAAATTAAAACCCGCCATTTTGACGGGTCTGGTAGTTCTACTGTTAAATGCGACGAATCATCTTTATAAAATGCAAGCAAAGTCTGAGAGGAAGATCTCGAGAACTTTTTACACTGTACACCATACGTTATGATTTTAGATAATAACGCACGTGAAAGTAATTTAATTTCCTTCACGCAAGGTACAACATGTTGAACGTTACAAGCATGTGACGTTGGTCAGGAATGTGTTGAACGTTTAACGTTGACATGTGGTATTTTATAATAGTGCTTGTGATCATTCAAATAATTTTGAACATTCAAAGATTTAAATTTTTCATTGGAAAATTTAATCTATTTACCTGGAAAGTGTTTAGAATATACTACAATAAAGTATTACGAAATTGCACAATTGTTTATTAATTTTTATTTAAATTTTTCGGACTCGTCATTTTATTAACCTGTTTGTTGATATTTCATTGCATGTGTCTTGAGGTTTTTTTACGTGTTATCTTTCTTTGTAGAGAACAAAGACATCATTTTTCCATAATTAACATAATTTTCTATTTTCATATATTTCTCCTTTTATAAAAATTTAATGGAATTCCAACTCGGTAAATAAGATTTGAAACAACACAATTACAATCATCGTATAATACAATACAATTATGCTAATAAAATGTCATTTGTATTAACAATACCTTGGAACAGTAACATTTGTGACTTTAAAACGGAGTAACTTCTAAAATGTCTGTTAATAAAATAATATATTATTATATAATATATAATAAACCCTTAAAGTAATATTAAACTCCTTCTCGCAAAAACCAATATTTTAAAAAATGATATGAATTGTTTTAATTATAGTATTTAATAAATCAGATACTTATATCTCTAACTTCCCTTAAGTACACGCAATTTTAAAGGAACAAAAATCTCGGAATTTTGTAGGAGTATAAGTAATTTCAATTAAATTTGGTGGGTTAAAAAATATCCCACCATGCATTAACTGTCAACAAAAAAGTAGGACAATTTTAAATCCTCCTAACCCCAAAGTGTTACTAGACTAATTATAAATTTTTATTCGCTGAATAACAGAAAGTCATTATATTTTAAGAATTATGAATAAGGAAAAAATCTGCTTATAACTTATAAGTTATGAGTGATACAACAAACCATTCTTACTCTTATAAGAATATTCCTTTTAAACTGAACTGGACAAATCGAAATGTTGTATACAAAACAAAGTAAATAACATTCCGATTTGTCCAAATCAGTTTAAAATTTTCATCGCGAATCTGACACGATATCATAGGGCAAGGGTTAACAATTATTTCTATTCAATACCGGAGTAATTCTCAGAATGATTCCTTTGAAAGGACCATTTCCGCCAAAAATACACGAGGAAACGGTATCACCATGTAGTCGTAGATTACGGTACTTTTTGTGAAGGAAATAGGCCGATGTTTCTCGAAAGACGTAGGCTCGTTTCGAAAGATGATAATTACGCTTTTACGGTACACGGCCAAACCCAATCTACATTGTGTCTACGTGGCAAGTTCTCTCGCGCCAAGACGTAAGGAAATCGCGCAATACTTTTAGGCTCCCCTGGTACACACGTTGCGAAAAAGTGAAATGTGTTGTACCATTGCGTTTCCATTGTTGTTTCTAGAGGAGGAGTAAAATGGGGCAAGGTTGAATTTCTGATTGCCGGAAAGAGTTGCAGATTGATCGAGTGAACCTCGCATTTTCGATATTGTAACCGTTTCTGAATCTACATATTCGGTGGGTA